GGGGGGGGGGTTCTGGTTCCTTTTTTTTACGTAGATCTAGGACCCTCGAGATAACGTTGTCAACCCTATAGGGCCTATGCATTTGACTGTGGAGCACCCAAACACAAGACAGTCTAGAATCTACATCACATACAACATTAACTCCTCAGTGTAAACAAGCAGAAAGTATGACAAAACATAAACTGCTGTACTTACCCATTCTGTGCCATATCTGCTTATAAAACTTGAAATATGGATGACACCGAATACAAACGTCCAAAGATGTAAAACCCTCGAAAAATATCAATTATATGAAACTGCTTAAAAGATTATGATTTAAACACTTATTATGACTTTTTCGTCTGGTTGCATTAACTACTACACAACACGTTCTTGGGAAGCGTTTCGATACACAGATGCAGTGAACTCGAAAACAACCGTCAACAAAATGAAAGCTCAAGTGACGTTCTCGCTCGAGTTCTTAACTGAGAGTCAAAATGTGAATACATTTTCCTGGTACGTGAATCAGGCGCCGATAAGCGTTAGTGCTCCGTATACAAAAGTCAGGGAGCTAGGAGTGAAAGTGTTCCATCTTAAATGCATTATTGCAGTTCAGATAGAACATTTTGATTGAGTCAGCAAGTTTACGCGAACGCCCACAAGCAAAGGGTGAAAGTGTTCCATACGACATACATTTCGTAATATTAGTTACAGCCTTTCGACTCTTTCCCACGAAGGTGCGCGAATCCGCAAGTAATGAATAGGGTGAAAGTGTTCCATATGATTTATATTATCACCGTACACATGGGACTTTTTGCCTCTCTCCCGCGAGGATGCACAAAAGTAGGTAAATAAAGGGTTACAGCGTTCCTATACAATTGAAGTAGGCCCCCAGATGAAACGTTTTGACTCTGTCGTGGCACATGTAAAATTTTTATTTTGCGCTGAACAAGGCCCAGTTATCTTCTATTATTTACGCGCTCGTGTTTTGTATTGGGGTTTTTTGTTTGCTTTTTTCCGGTGGTTATGGCGATAAAAGAAAAATGAAAAAAAAGAATAAGGGGAAAAAAGGGTGCGTCAAGAAATGTGAATCACAAGTACGTGAAACAGAGGAAGACAACGTGGAGAAACGGAAGTCATATCAACAGCTGTTGTTTGTGTAAAGAGAAGCTCACCGATGTGAATATAAAACAAAGGTTGTTAAGTGTAGAGAAAAAGTGAGACAGACACACAAAAACAACTGAGGTAATGAAAAGAAACAGTAATTGACCTATCTACCACTACCATCCTTCACCTTTTGTAATCTCTGTAGATAGGAAAAAGAAAAATGAAGAAAAGGTACCTCTTTATTATCCAGATCCTGGCACTTGTTTGTTTTT